TTAGTGAATTTTTACAATTTTTAATTTTTTTTAAATAATAATAATAATAATAATAATAATAATAATAATAATAATAATAATAATAATAATAATAATAATAATAATAATAATCAATCAATCAATCAATCAATCAATCAATCAATCAGGCGCCCCCTCAACGCCTAGGGGGCACCTAACGTATTTTGCAACATTGACTGTATCACCACCCTAGCATATTTCTAAGGGCTATCAAATACATATTGGTTATAAACCTCCGTCTATTGTCTAAATATTTAGAGCCCCTGAAAAGGGATCAATGGATACACTGACTGCATATTTTATGAAGATCGGTTCACGGTATTAGGAGGAAATATGATCAAATTTAAATGGAATGCCGAGAAATTTCATGAAATGAAATGAAATGATCTTCAACATTGAAACCCACGTACCAATTACACTGAACTATCAAACATATCTATTGATTATAATAATCATAAAAGAGTGACTAGGTCTCATACACATTCCCCAAAATTGAACCATATATATCTACCGACGCTCCTTGGCGCCAAAAGTGCGGGAGGACCATCGGTGTAGAAAAATAAGAATCCACAACTAGATCTAGAAAAAAAAAATACAACACTCTTGAAAAATCTTAAAGAGTTATGTCTTTAAGACGTTCATCCAGAAGACGAGAAAACTCAGTAAATTTATATATGCACCAAATAATCATAATACTGGGATGCAGAACAACCAGATATAAATATCTTTGAAAAATGGCTAGAATCTAGTTGACTTAGAAATTACCATAAACTTTTATATATGTGTAGAGGGAGAAATTTATGAAAATATTATAGTTGTTGACAACACAATTGCCTCAAAAATTGCTCATATTATATGAATATCTGGATCAAGAGCTAGGCGCCATAAGTGTCTTGATTAATTAACATATAAATTAAAGAGCAATTAAGGCATATATATAGCTCAGGTCGCTGATAAATATATTATCTTTATAACATGAACACCATTCAAATATTAACCCTGTAAGTTACAAATGGGTGTTTGTATTAAAGAGAAACAATAATGATGCGGTGGTGTGATATAAAGCGAGTTTGTAACCCAAGAGTTCACGCAGAGACTAGAATCAGATATACTCTCCCATAATGGACGTCATTAAAAGTTCCACTACATAATTGGCAGAATAATGATAAATTTAGATATGCAGCTGATTAAAGTCATGACTGTAAAATTATGGGTCATGAGACATTAATGTTTATTTGGAAAAATCCTTGATGAATTTATAATTCTCAGAATGAAAGAAAATAAATATCACAACATGATTGTTGTTGAGTACAACGGCTTTACATAACCTGAAGTAGCAATCAATTGACTGAATAATTTCCTACTGAAGTAAGATAATGTAGAAATGAATATGCACCATTATGTGCTTATTAAAAGCTGCTAATGGAATTATTATTTATTATCTCAGTCTGTGTTGGTGTTATAAACATCATTGAAATACATAAAGAGCTTAATGATACTAGCTCGTGCCTAAGACAGATTTTGGAAATAAAAGACTTGAAAAATCAAGTATTATCTTAACCTACAGATCGAGTATTTTCTTGAAAAGAATTTTATACACCAGTTAATCTATTTTGGAAAAATGTCTTTGACACGTTTTATATGGATAAGTATCACTGACTTATCACACTAACAGTTGTCCAATAATCTCTTGAAGTAGATAAATGACCATTTAGACCCGAAGAAGATAATGATAACATTTTGAGACTGGAAGTCCATTACTTCATTGCTATTGGGGCCCTATTATTAAACCAGAAATTCCATAACCACATCAGGGCTGCCATTGTCCTTGCGATGAAATTACTAATAACATCTAGTGTTCCTTCTACAATTAAATATTGGGATATTCTCGAGTATCTTTGATTTATAAAAATTTTGAAATTCATGCAATATACCAATGTGTGATTTTCATAGGCCACTTGGGTATTCACTATTTTTAATCGTCATGATGTTAAATCTCAAATTGGTTATGTTTTGCTTTACCTCCACTGTCCTATGCGAGGACAATAAAGCTTGTTTTATACAAATAATAAGTGTGTATGTTTAAAGAATATTAGAAAAAATATATAACGTCAACATTCAACACACGTAAGCACTAGAAGAGTCATGAGATTATTATACAGAATGTTAACTCTAGTGACAATCTTGAAGATTGTACCATATCTCTTTTCTACACTTTTTTTTTAAACAATATTTTTTATTATATTAGAACATGTAGACTTTGAAAATTGTTATCTTCATGGGGAGTGATAACCAATCATGAAGATTGGATTTAAATCAATCCTGAAGATGGGGTCTTAAAAGACTAGTAGTTGTACTCTTTTGCAACACATGAATGCATACATATTATGTACTCTTTTCCTCACTATATTTTTCCCATTGAGTTTTTCTAATGTGGTTTTTAACGAGGCATGCGTATGATATAATAATGTCAATATGGAGAGTTGCAAATAAATACTTAAATAGACAAACTCTAAATCCTGAAGATTATGCCTTGAAGGCTTATGGTTGTACTATTTTATCTTAACTAAGTTTTTTCCCATAGGATTTTCTTAGGGTGGGTTTTTTTAATGAGGCAACCGAAAGGTCACATGAATTGCCCATATATCATGTACTCTTTTCTCGTTTAGGTTTTTTCCATATGGTTTTTCTACTGAGTTTAACGAGACATGATTATGGTAGAAAATGTCCAAAGGGAATGTTATAAATATATATATATATATATATATATATATATATATATATATATATATATATATATATATATATATATTAAAGTGTGGACATTATGATTGAATTACGTAATGGTTGTAACGGTCCTCGTACTTATGCATGTCATTATTTCTTTATGTTACTATTGTAATTATATATATGCCTTGTAATGTTCTGATAAGTTGGTTGGAATAATAAGATTGTTATGGTTACACTTTGTCTCTGCAATTTTACTTTTTTCTTCTTCCTTTTTCTTTGTATTGATTTCCATTACAAATATGATCCGTTTCACTGAGAATGGCTACGGGCTAAAAGAAATAATCACAACAATTTTGACACTTATTATTATTATATAGCATTTTGTACGCACGATGCGCGATACTTCATGTCCAATATTAAAACATTGATAAATACAAATATTTAAAAATTATAATTTGAATTATATATATATACATAAATAATATATGTATTTTATACACATACATATGGTTTACCATTCATAAAAATTTAATTAAAATATAATCAACCATTAAAATAATTATACAATAATTATATAATAATTTTAATAAAATGATAATTAAAGAATAGAAAAAAGATATGATAGATATAGGCGTATGGTAATAATGATGGAGTTATCAATGTTAGAATTAAAAAGTAACCGTGTTATAACAGTGTAAGGGTGTCTAACAAGAATGTAGTATGAACAATTTTGTCTAATAACATTGAAGTGTACAACATTTAAAGTAAAATGTATACATTTATTAGCATACAAAAAGAGGGACATAAATCAAAGATATAACATTGATTGAGACTAATTATGTTTTTAGATTAATAATAATAATAATAATAATAATAATAACAATAATAATAATAATAATATTAATATTAATATTAATATTATTAATATTATTATTACTATTATTATTATTACTATTATTATTATTATTATTATTATTATTACTATTATTATTATTACTATTATTATTATTATTATTATTATTATTATTATTATTATTATTATTACTATTATTATTATTATTATTATTATTATTATTATGTCCTCCCCCAAGTATTGTGGTTGTCCTATGTTTGGTCCTTAACTTTTAAATTTATAACTATTGACCCTCTAAATTTGGATTTGTAGCATTAGAATGCTCCATTTGTGATTGTTTTTCCCGTGATAAATTTGGTTTTTTTTTTTTTTTTTTTTCATTTTTATCTCCCTATAATGAGCTCAAACGGTCCTAAAGTTCTCACTTCACCCTCTTGTGATTTTGATTTTATTGATTTCAATCACACCTTTGCAAGACTTTAGTGGTCTTTGAAATTATCTTTCAATTTTTCAGACAATCATGCTTGCAAATACGTATTCTTCACTGACCTTTTTACAACCAGCATTACAATTCTTTCTAATGCCATCTCTAGCTTTTCTCTCATCACAAGTCCATATTATTTATTTGGTGCTCCTATCATTGTGTGGGTGAGGCTATGACATCTAAGACCTTGGCACTTGTATCTCCACCACTTGTATAGCTATGGTGTTCACCTGGTTTTACATATGGTGTCTTTGGTCGTTTAGCAAGGTTTTGATCAATCCTTAAAGCAATAGTGTGTGTCATGCAAAATTGCAATGTTGTATTTTCTAATACCCTCCTCACGTCTAGCAGTGTCATCTCTAGTGATTTCATATGGCTATTACATGAAATAAGATAAAATGACATCTTTATCTCTAGTCTTTATCTCTAGAAATAATAGTCACATACATAAGATTCTAATAGAGAATTTTTAAAAAATGTTACAAATCAAAACTTAGAGCATCAATGGTGATCAATTTAAAAGGTTAGAGACAAACATAACGTGATTATCATGCATATTCAGATGACCATTGATTTTATTAACTATTATTATTATTTGTCAAAAGGTAAAATTGAACGTGTACAAATGTAATCAGTAACAATTGAAGAGTAGTTTTCTATACCATTTTTTATTTCTCATACGTTTTCTTTCCCTTTCGTTGTGACATTATCTGATTGGTTTGATTATTAATTAAATTTCTATTTTTAATTAATGATCGTATCAGTCAATTCATGAAATTCAATAAGTGTAAACTATGTCATGATGAGAATTATAAGAGGAAAAATTCGGAGTAAGAATATTTTTCAATGAAGTACTTTTACCCCAAATTCAAAAATGTCAAAAAAAAACAAACTTGGAAATGGTAAGTCACCACCTTCCATCGTCTCGGCTTCTACATTTCTCACACGAGAGGATAGCCAAAAGCTCTCCCTCATTTCTGATGTGTAAATAAATCTCCCCACACACCACACTTTCTCCTTCTCTTACCATCTCTCTTCATTCTCTCTCTTTCTCTCTCTCTCTCCCCCTCTCTATATATAAATATATATACTTGGGTAGTTCAGCCAAAGGGTGAATTTTGAAGAAAAAGCAAAGAAAGAGAGAGCAATAGAGAGGGCCTTTCCAGCCCTCTGCTCGTTATATATGCCTCTCTTCAGATCTTGAATTCTATCCATTTCTCATCTGGGCCTTCACCTTTTGGTAATTCCAACTACTTTGCTTCCTTGTATTGATCCGTTTTTGTTTGCTTGTTGTCAAAGGTTGTGACTTTCTTTGCTTCTTTTGGATTCTGGATTGTGGATCGATCAGTTTTGGATCTTTCGAAGATCAGATGCTTTTTTTTTTTTTTTTTTCCTCTTGATATTCATAGATTGCGTATTTGTTTTGTCTCGGCTGCTCGGAGATTTAGACTTTTTGGTCGTTTAGATGTTCTAGTCTTGTTCTAGTTGCTTAATCTGCATTTCGATATGTTCTGTTGGATTGGTCTGTTTGATGAAGCGGAAGCTTCTTCGTTGATATGGTAATATGAAAAGTTTTGGTTCAATTGCATACTTGCTGGTTTACTAAACTTTATGCTACTTTGTAGATCCTACTTGTTATGATCTGTGTAGTTAATGATTTTAATTGTGTATACTAGTGGTTCTCGATCTGTTGAGAACTTTTATTGTGTTTTTGTCTGATGGGATGATTGGAATTATTATGTGAAAGATGGAAATGGAGCCTGGAAAATTGTTTGTTGGTGGGATTTCCTGGGACACCACTGAAGAGCGTCTCAGAGCTTATTTCCAAACATTTGGTGAAGTAGTTGAGGCAGTGATCATGAAAGATCGGACCACAGGACGTGCCCGCGGTTTTGGTTTTGTTGTTTTTGCTGATCCTTCTGTTGCTGAAAGAGTTGTTAAGGAAAAGCACATGATCGATGGTCGAACTGTGAGTTCCATATTCTAATATTTTTACTACTAGATTATTCTGCAATAGATTCTTTGGCAATTGTATGCCATGTGAGCTATTTACTGGACTGGAAAACTGTGATTTTATTACTATTAAAATTATTGTTATGATTTGTAATTTCTTAACAATTGTATTGTCTTAACACCGGGATGCACTTAAGGAAGACATAGAGTTCAATTCGAAACATCTGGAAATTCATGTGTACGAGTAGTTGTGGATATCATCTTAGTGCTAACAATGTAAATAATATGATGGATGTACTTGACCATTTAAGGCAATGAAACTGCATAGGTGGATATGGTATTCCTATGGTCGTTAGGTAAATGAAATGAAGCTCGGGAAGTAGTTTAGAATGCTAGAAGTCCAATGATTTACTCCTTAGCAGACTGTTGATATTTTGAAAATTGAAATAGCCAAGATTGATGAGATAACGGAGCTGGCTTAGTGTAGAAGAGAATTGCCTTGCTTTTGCTTAGACCTGTTTTTTTCTTTTGGTATTCACAATGCATGTTTGTTCCGGATCTCTGTTTATGTTTCCTGATTAAAAATCAAATAGGCATATGTAATGAGATCAGAAGTCTTTAAATGTGGAACATGTTCCTTTGTTTAAGTTTTTGGCTTATCATTCATACTTCCATTTATATTATCCGTCTTAGTTGGGAAGAAGCAATTGGCACTAAACTGCATTTTATTCTCTGGATTCCTCATCATTATCATTAATTACATGTGCAGACTTTTATTTTAATATTGAATCAAGCAAGTATAAGTGGTTTAATTCATTTTCTTCTTATTTTGATCCTCAGAATGTGAAGTTCAGCTAATTTGTTTCTAACCGTTTGCTTTTCTTGTGTAGGTAGAGGCAAAAAAGGCTGTGCCTAGGGAAGATCAACACACCCCGAATAGGAACAACGGAATTATACAGTCTCCACAAAGTTCCATACGCACAAAAAAGATTTTTGTAGGTGGTTTGGCATCCTCAGTGACTGAGAGCGACTTCAAGAGTTATTTTGATCAATTTGGAACAATCACCGATGTTGTGGTGATGTATGATCACAACACACAGCGGCCTAGAGGTTTTGGATTCATCACTTATGACTCGGAGGAAGCTGTAGATAAAGTTCTGCACAAAACCTTTCATGAACTTAACGGCAAAATGGTTGAAGTCAAGCGTGCTGTTCCAAAGGAGTTATCTCCCGGGCCAACGAGAAGTCCATTAGCTGGATATAACTATGGTTTGAACAGAGTAAGCAATTTTCTCAATGCGTACTCTCAAGGTTACAATCTGGGTTCAATAGGAAGTTATGGAGTAAGGATGGATAGATTTAGTCCAACTGCTCTTGGACGTACTGGATATTCTTCACTTAATGCATCCAACTATAATATTGGACCAACTCTAGACCCGGCACTGAGTTCAAACTATGGCGGAAGTGGGAGTTTTGGTTCTAATGTTGGTTTTGGACATGATTTAAATTCCTTCTACGGTGGGAACTCAAATAGGTATATTGGTCCAATGGGATATGCTTTGGGGGGGCGGGTTGGAAGTGGCTCTATGCTGACTTCAACTGGTCGGTCCATGTTGGACAACGATAGTGCTCATTTTAGTACAAACACTACGAATGTTAGTGAATTTGTTGGCTCAGTAGGCGGGAATACTGGATTGAGCGCTGCCCTTGGAGGTCTTGGAACGATATGGGGTTCCTCTCCTATCTCGGGTCAAGGTGGAAGGAACGGTTCCTCAGCAAGTGGCAACATCAATTACAACAATGGAGCCAGCAGCTTTGCCGGTGTTGGAGGTTATGGACAAAATAGTGTTAACGGTCCTGCTGCAACATCCTTATTTCCTGCTAGGAAAGATGTTCATACCGGAGATTTTGGAAACTTGTATGGGACTGGGAGCAGTTCGTTGTATGAGGACCCAACATGGCGTTCACTTTCTCCCGAGCTTGATCATTCTACATCTTTCAGCTATGGGCTTGGAAGTATGCCTTCAGATGTTATACCTAACAACTCGCTTGGTTATGTTGGCTCGTTATAGTGTTACAATAGATCAAATAGAGGTGAGTACTTCTTTTCTTCTTGTTATTCTATTTTAGGAGTTTGTCGCTTTCTCTGAATAATTTAAATACTGGGGAATATTTTAACTTGCTTATTTATTGGTTGGTGATTTAAACCCGTAACTTTGATGTTCTATGAACTTCTTGATGGCATCTATCATTTCTTTAGATGCTTACTTGCCTTGAAAGTTACTCCTTTGGTTATTGTTACATTTACAGCCACTTCTTATCTAAGCTAAGGCAGAAAAAGTAGGATCTTTTTTTTTTTCCCTTTTCATGTGTGTATTAGGGGTGAAGAAAACTTCCCAATGGGAACATTCTTTCTACTTTTGGCAATCCCGCAATCCCCCAATGAGGATCACAGTGTTGTTTATTATGTCACAGGAATTGCTGTGTAGGAAGATACCTGTATGGAAGTATGGAGATATGAAATGTTATTATAGGTGGAAAGTACAGTCTGAATCAAAACGAAGGCTCGTGAAAGTAATGCTAGAGGTACATTTTCTTTAGAGCTAATTCAAGCGCCTTCTATAGAACTCGCTCAATGAACATTTACATGGGATTCTGTGAGGTTTGAACTTAGATTTTTGTTTTACTCTTTGATGTAGGCTTTTTTTTTTTCTTTCTGTTTTTCGTTTTCCCCTTCTCATATGGTTGAGATGTAAAATTGGATAGCGGGATATACTTAAGTTATTATACCCCCCATGCATATCTGGTGACCGCCATGAGACAAAAATGCAGGATAATTCTTTCCTCCGATAGATTCTTTTCTTCTTTTCCCCGTTAGCTGTAATCACCAGCGGTTTGGTGGTGGATGTTGTCAAGTCTTGCTGTCTTATTCTTAATCCCGATACCGATTGTGGGCGTCATCACTTCAGTTTGCATATTGTATGACATGTTTTCTTATCGACGATGAAACACTGTTCAGAATGCTCGGTCCCAAACGAAACGATTAAATATTAAATAGCAGATCTTGTTGCTGTTTTTCTCCATTAGAAGTAGCAGCTAAGGTTTGATGACACTGTTTATGATGATTTTTCGACATTTTTATAACCTGCATATTTTTTTTCTGGCTTTGTAGAATTCTTGCACAATTTGGTGTTGTATCATTGATTATCTGGAAATTATGTTAGATGGTTCAAAATCTCTACCTCTAATGCCCTTCCTATTCATTCTAATTTATCTTTATATTCATTTCATTGTGAATAGATTTGGAATAAAATGATAACCAAGTTCTTTATAAATTATAATTACTCTACTCTTATGTATCAAGAAAAATATTGCTTTATTACTCTGGTTGATCGGTGAAACAAGTCAAATTCTTCATAAGTATTATATTTTTTTTATCATAAATAATTGACAAATTATATCATGGACATCTTGCATAGTGGACCTTGATTCAAAGTGGTATTTTATTTTAGTGCATCATATTTAATAACATCATTCTGTACCATGTTTGTAATATTTGTTCTATATATTTATAAATTTAAATTTTAATATCCATAAACACTAAATTTTTTTTTTTGAAAATCCATAAACACTAAATTAAATATACATTATATGCATTTTCATTAAGTGTGTAATAGGTTCATAATGTTCATTTTATATGTTCATAGAAATAAAGTATAATGTACATAAGCATTATATTACAATCACATCATGTTTATTAACTTTTTTCATGTGCTACGTTCATAATATTTGTTCTAAATGTTCATAAACTTAAATCTTATGTCTATAAGCACTAAATGTAATGTATATCATATGTATTTCCATTCAATTTATATTAGGTTCATGATATGTGTTCCTTTTATATGTTCATAAAAACAAATTTAATGTACATAAATGTTATATTGCAAACATATCATGTTTACTATTCATCATGTACTATATTCATAATATTTGTTCTATATGTTTGTAAACCTAAACTATAAATGTTAATAAACACTAAATTAAATGTACGTTAAATGTATTTTCTTTCAGTTTATAGTAGATTCATAATGTTTCTTCTATATGTTCATAAAAATAAGTGTGGTAAGATTTCAATTAGTTTTTTAATAAAATATTTTTTTATACATTAATTTTATTTCTACAAAAAAAATATATAAAATTAAATTTAAGCTGAAAAAATATGAATGTGTTTGGGTGCATGTAGCAACATGCAACTGTCCACAATATAACTATTATAAATAACTCTTCAACCCTTAAATATTATATTCTAATTTAAAAATATTGAATTTTCATTCATAAGTATTATACTTTTCTTATGAGTAACAATTAAATTATCAATGATTAGTCTTATACTTTTCGTCATAAGTATTAAGTTTTCAATAATAATAATAATAATAATAATTAATTAGTTAATTAATTAATTAATTATATCTAATTAAGTATTATAATTTTTTCATAATTACCTTTTTAACCTTTAAATATACATTTTGATTTAAAAAGATTATTACATTTTTATTAAAAAGTATCACATTTTTTTTTATAAATATTACATTTTTCCTCATAAGTAATAATCATTTTACTCTTAATTAGTATTATATTTTCTTTTAGACTTTACTCATCTAATAAAAAAATTCAACATTCGTGAGACGGTCTCACAAGAAAATTACTCTTTAAAAAATAATCTTTATATTTATTGATAAATTGATTGATTCAGTCATAATAATTTGAGATAAAAAGATTATTCCAGGTCGTTAGTTGGGTCAGACAAAAAAAAAAAAAAAAAAAAAAAAAGACCAACTAATTAAACACAAATAGTTCGAAATTAATTTTTTGGATAGCAGTAGTAAGAGAAAACATAGACTACGGATAAGGTAAAAGGACCCACTTATGATGCGGGCCATTTCTCAATCACCAAATGGGCAAATGGAGAGATTTGAACAGATTGGCGTGGTCCCACCACTTATTAACAATACTGAGAGTAGAATCTCTTAACAACTAGTTTACAGCGTAATCGCCACAAGTTTTTAAATTCAAATCCCTTTTCAATAATTTTAAGAAGAGTAAATTTCAATTTTGGTCCTGTGACTATAGGCGTCCTGTTAATTGCAGTCTACGACTTTCAAAAGTTTTAATTTAATAACTTGACTATGCAATTTTTATCAATTTTGGTCACTCCTGCCAAATTTCCGGTCAAATTTTGCCGGAAAAACATAATTCATCAATTAGTGTTTAATCTGAGGGGCAAATTCGTCTTTTGAACTGTGGTCCGAATTAAGCAAAGGCAGTTTTTAACCCGGTTTTTCCGTCAAAATTTGGCCAAAATGATCAAAATTGATAAAAATTGCATAGTCAAGGTACTAAATTAACACTTTTGAAAGTCATGGACTGCAATTAACATGACCCCTATAGTCACATGACCAAAATTGAAATTTACTCTTTTAAGAAAGTTATAGCATGTATATTATTAGTTTTTATTATTGCAGGCGTTATATTTAGCGGAAAAAAAAAAACAAATTAGATTTAAATCCAAGTATCAAACTATCACCAAGATTAAGGTTATATTTAAATCTCGATTTGTAAGATAAAAAATCTCTTTCTATTTGGTTGGCTGTTATAAATAGTTTATAGTTGTAGTGAACTTATTCTTTACTTGTATAACTAGTCATCACACACGCATTCTGCGAATAATTCAATGCCCAATGTATATTTTTAAATTAGTTTTTCGGAATTTATAAAAGTACCATTCAGTATCCTGACGTATATCAATGCAAGATATCAAATTTGTCATAAATGTAAATATTTCAAAAATGTATAATTATGACATGTGACAGAAATGTTGGATTAACTGGTGCAATAAAAATTTTAGATGGAGACACTTTCACTAGATAGTACCCTAAACATAGTTTTTGCAACACAAAACTCTATTAATTGGCGTGACCATGCTTCATCTTGTTGTCATTTCCGTCAAAATGAATTCTTGACTTGATTTGGTCACTTTGTGTGCTTCACTGCTATTTTAGTGCCTTGGCATAGTGCACTAAAATATATAGGCATAGTTTTTCATCTGCGTTGACGGTGGAATATATATTGTAAATTAGGTGTACCGTTTCATCAATGTACAATGTGTGATTCTAATTAATTGACTGATGGGGAAAATACCCCGGACTCAGGCTCCCCGTACGCTCCATGCTCCTGTTTGGGTCGGGGTTAAACGGTTCGGGTCTCGGTCCACGGGTCAAAGTCAAACCCGCCCACACTTGGGCCTATAAAAGGGGCCTTGGCGATCCATTTTAGGGGTTCCTTCCCTTCACTTCCACCATGCCCTCTCTCTCTAGCTAATGCTCTCCCTTCTCTCTAAACATACAAGAATTATCAATGAATAAAAGAGTCTTTGAGCTTACATACATTGTTCATACATACAATATACATCCTACGTACAGGGAATTACCCTTATCATTTTGTCGTCGTCTGTGGGGATCGTGACGAAGAGTTACATTCCTACCATCAAAGAAAAGCTATAGGAAAAGTTATGGAGTTCTAGAAGTGGGCAAAATATCAGTTAACTGTTTGATAACCGAATCGACTGGAAAAGTCAGTTTTCAATTATTAATGATAAAATATTTTGGGTATTTCAATTATTTTACTACGGCATCCACAATGGTTATTCCATTTTCTCTCCATTTTTTACTCCAAACTCATCCACATATTCTTATAATATCTTCTCCTATTTTCTCTCCAACCTTTCTCCCATTTTCTCCCCTTTTTCGTGGGCCATATCCTCTACACGCCACATATAATCTATTATTATATTTACTTTTCTACAATTAATAATTTCAACTTTATAATTATAATTTATGATGGTTTTATTAGAAACGGGTCCACCATAAACTGAATAGACAACTAAGGATGAAAGAAGAGACTGTACTATGCTGAGAACGCCAGGCCCAAAATTCCCTAACTCACTGTCAGGCACAACGGTAAGCCCCGTGACGATACGACAACAGAGGATATACCTCGAGGTACGGGAAATAAGACAATTCAGAGACTAGTAGATGATGCTATCCATTATCCAATATCGATCTCGCGACCACTCACCTCTCGCAGGATGATTCCTACCACTCCGTTTAATCCTCTCCCCTTGTCCCCCTTGGATTACGACTCCCCTCCCCTCTTATACTGGATGAGGGGCCCTCCAAACCAGCCACGTGTACGGCGCTCACGCTTCTCTTCCAGGACCACACACTTGTCGTCCCTTACCGCATGTTCCCGCACTTCGCCGTACATTGCGCGTCTCTCTCACGCATATCCTGTGTCGTATGTGCATCCCATGTTCCCGCAATCGCCGCCAGCCAGCCTACATTCATGCATACAGCCCGCCGGCACCCCTACATGCAGCCGCCCTTTGACGCACGCCCTTCCGCGAGTGACAACCATCCCCCACGCACGCTCGAACGCACGAATAGCCGCCGCCTCCCGTGTGCAAGCATGCACATGAGCCGCCGCCATCCTGCATGCATGCGATCGTGTGCGCACGCAACTCGCCGCCAACCTGTATGCGCCCCTACATGCAGCTATCCCCATGTCTATGGGCTTGTTTGCTAGCTTCCTCCTCCTGGGCCTGCACCCCTATGCACATGGACCCAGGCCCAACTCATTATATTCCATCAATTTCAATTTTAAATAAAAAATAAAATAATTGTTTAATTATAAAATATAATTTTATAAACTAATCAAAATATAATTTCATAAATTAATATTTGCCTTCGAAATTGTCTATGGAACAAATTAACATTCGGAATCGAATACAAAAATTCAAATGCCATATATACTGATAATTAATAAAATTTAAAAATTTAAAATAAATTGAAATATAAAAATTTGAAAATAAAATAACAAGAGCACTTGCGCCTCACGTCAAAAGCGCTTGCGCCTCTCTCCCCCTTTCCTCCGGAAGATAATTTTCTCTCCACTCCGACCGTGTTCCTTCCCTTTCTGACTTTTTCTCCTTTAATTTTCATCATGAAGATGTTCTTATTGACTTTCGATTTCGCTCGGTATATATATATATATATATATATATATATATATATATATATATATATATATATATATATATATATATATATATATATATATCATGGTTGAAAAAATCGCTAGGCGCCCATCGGGCGTTCGGGGAGCGCCTAGCGCCTAGGCGGGGATTAATCGGCGCCTAGGCGCCAGTGTATTTTTTATTTTTAAAAATTTCTTTAAATTTTTAAAATTTTTTAAGACTCGATAATTATAAACTATTTAATACTTTAATAGTTAATACTAAAATATTAAATATTAACCGAAAAAAAATCTAGAGATTGAACAATTTAGGGTTATTTCGCTCAAAACGATGTTGTTTTGAGTGAAATAATTCATTTAAAAAAGAATGGACCAATAGTTAATTGACCGACTAGGCGACCTAGTCGGCGCCTAGGAGGCCTAGGCGGCATTTAGGCGGCCTAGTCGGTTGCCTAGCCGGCCAGGCGCCTAGACCAGCGATTATGGTGATACGCTAGGCGGCCGGCCAGCGCCTAGCGCCTAGGCGCCGATTAATCGGTGCCTAGACGGGATTTCTAGGCGCCGATTAATCGGTGCCTAAACGGGATTTTTGCAACATTGATATATATATATATATATATATATATATATATATATATATATATATATATCCAATGGACGAATACAAATGATTTTGTTCTGCCAATACCCAATAGGCCATGCCCTTCCAAATATGAAATATCCAATAGCCCAAGCTAAATACAAAGTAGAAAATACAAGAAAAAATTGTAATTTATGTCATACATAAATATGTCAATTATCAATGTTACCCCTGAATTATTAGTGGTGTAAGTGTTGCCCTTCAATTTTTAAAACGTGACATATATTACCTCTCTTTTAATAAGAAGAAGGACAAACATTATTATCGGTGGAAAGAGAACAAACGAATAAATAAAAATGGAAGAAAAAAATGTAGTATTCGAACAGGAAAACGGCTGATAACCACATTTACACTATTAATAATTCAAGGATGTGCAATATATGTCAAGTTTTAAAAATTGAGAGGCACCATTTACACTACTAATAATTCAAGAGTGATATTAATAATTAATATATTTGTAAGGGGCACAAATTACAATTTTCTCAAAATACAAAATACTGAAACAGCATAGCCCTAATTCCCTAAATCCCCTAACCCCTAATCCATTCATTCCCTCGTCTTCTGGCTTCTGCGCCTCGGCTTCTCCATTCCACAGCCCACAGACGACGCACGACGCTTCTCCGGTCTCTCTGCGACTCTGCCCCTCACCGCCTCACGCTCACAGCCTACGCACTCGTCATTTCTCCCTCGTCTCGAAAAATTTCAATCGGATTTTCGTGACCGTTTGCTCACCCCTAGTTTTCGTATGTATATAACCTTATGCTCTAATTTTTGTCCGCGTTTGTATATATGCATGATTAGTTTGTACTTATGGTTTTGGTTGTGAAATTTGTTCATATAAATGCAGTCAGTTGAGAGTGTTTACGATGGAGAATGAGGCAAACGGAAAAGAAGGCAACCTGGTGTTGATTAAACAAGGAGCCGAGGCTGTAAGTTTGAAAATTATTCATTTCTATGCCGTTTACGTCTACTATAAGCAGATTTGTTGTATTTGTGCGGGGTTCTCTCTTAACGATTTTGAATGGCGCACTGATTATGCAAAATGATAAAGGATGGGGAGTGGAGAAAACTTAATTTGGTTCTCTGTTTGCTGTAGCTCAGTTATGGCAGAGTTTGTTTTGACAGCCAATTCTTTTGCTTTCAGAGAGTCTTTGAGTCCACATTTGTAGGCAGGAGATCAATTGTTAAGGAACGGTTTTCAAAGAAGTACAGACATCCAACTTTGGACTCGAAGCTTACTCTTAAACGCTTGAATGCGGTTGGTCTCTCTAATGGTTCTATTTCCTTATCTAATTGCTTGAAGCAAACTTGTCTCCCTAACCAATCTGAAATTTTGTAACAGGAGGCTAGATGTATGACGAAAGCTAGACGATTAGGTGTTGCTACCCCAGTGCTTTATGCTGTTGATCCCATATTGCATTCTCTGACTTTTGAGTATGTAGAAGGACCCCTTGTGAAAGATATTCTCCTTGGTTTTGGTTCTTCGGGCATAGATGAAGAAAGGATTGCTGACATTGCATTTCAGATTGGTAATGCAATTGGCAAAATACATGATGGTGGCCTCGTCCATGGTGATTTGACAACCTCAAACATGATAATGCGAAGTGCTACCAATCAACTGGTGTGTTTTTCTGTTGCAGTTTATTCTCTTATATGTCTAAGCATGTGTTCATGTATTCCTACTATGCTCCAGGGGCATTTTGTCTAGTCCCATGATCATTATTTTGGTATTTTTTACCTTAAGATGGTGAGATGAAATTAACTTTACTGTCACTAGAGGATTGTTAACAATTGACAGCTTTTCTTCTCCAGGTACTCATTGACTTTGGCCTAAGCTTTACTTCAACACTTCCAGAAGATAAAGCAGTTGATTTGTATGTACTAGAACGTGCACTACTATCTATGCACTCTTCATGTGGAAATGTGGTAAGCTGGGACATCTAATATATAGTTTTTGTATTTTGAGTAATATATGCATGATTGATGAGCTTGAGGATGAACAAAAAGCACCAAAATTTCCACATTTGTTTTGTAATTAATAATTATTAAATTGAAAAACTGAAATTGTTAAAGGTTATGTTGGCCTTGTTTACTATCTTTATCAACCCAAACGGGATGAAGTTAACTGTTGACTGTTTTAGGACACAACATTAATGTGAATTTCTTCACTTTAGGAAGAGTGATGTTACTAAGATTTTACAATTGTAATCTCACAAAGCATGAGGTGATGACCCATATAAAAATGAAATATTTGTTTTTTGTACAACGAGTAGATGGACCGAATACTTGCTGCATACAAGAAGTCCTCGAAACAGTGGTCATCAACCTTGAACAAGCTAGCCCAAGGTTTGAACCTTTCGTATCATTCATGCTTTTCTGTTCAACATTCCATCAGAGGAAGTATTAAAAGTTTCTCCAATTCTAATAGCTTTTTCTTACTTTTCTGGTTTTCTAATTTCAGTACGCCAAAGAGGTAGAAAACGCACCATGGTTGGCTGAGCTTCCACTGTATTCTGCTTTGCATCCCAGTTAGGTTTCAGCTTGTTTGGTATGCTTTGTCATACACTTGTAATACTCCTTGTCTTAATGCATAATACTTTTAGCAGAGATTGTGTACCCAATATATATGTGTTTATATTTCTCTATTAGTATTCCTAGAGGGTGTCACGATAGGACTATGCCTAGCTTCATGAATCATGACATTGACATTATGCATAGAATTGTTTAATTATAGGTCACTTGCCTTATTAATCCATGATCCTTAAATACTTTTTGGTTGAGATAATTGACTAGCTTTATAGATTCATTGTGATTGTTGTGACAATTGAAACGGTGTGCTTTACAACTTTACCATCCCAAGGTGATGAAGTACTTATCTGCATTCTTACTTGGATTACCATAATATACTTATTACACAACACTCATCATTTTAACCACCCACATTTGTTTGGCCTATAGTTTACTGGAGCTTATCTATTTCATAATGTTGCGCCAAATTACTTAGTGTGTTTTTTTTTTTTTTTTTTTTTTTTTTTTTTTTTTTTTTTTTTTAAATTATAAAAAAAAATTATTGTTGAAAGTAGTTGGGTGTCACGAAATGTCTTGTGAATGTTTCAATTTGAGACTTTTCAAATAGGCCAAAGTTTGTGTGAGACGGGTCGGGGTTAAGATGAAAAATGTATCACTTATATTGAAAAATGTAATACTAATTAGGAATAAAGTGGTTATTATTTATATGGAAAAGTGTAATATTTTTGAAGTAAAATGTAATACTTTTACATTTTGATTTGAAAGTATTATATTTTTCTTCATAAGTGTTACATTTTTTCGTGGATACTTGCCAACACAAGTTAACATATTATGTACTTTCAATTTATTTGTAAGTACATAATCTGTTAATTGTAGGCGCATAAGTTGAATTTCATTTTAGACCAGGGTTCATAATACAAGGTGGACACTGGTCCATGGTATAATTTGCCATGCCAATGTCAATTGTTACACCATGGACCATGGTCCACAAGTATTATAGACCTTGGTTCAAAACAACATTCAAATTATATACATATAGTTAAGATATTATGTATCTATAAATAAATTGATTTTTCATTTAGATGGGAAAGCTGATTACTTTGGGAAGCCATTTTTCATGCCTTTTCAATTTAAATTAAGTACAATTTGTAAATCAATTTCTTATATACTTATCCATTTTGAATGTATAATATATCATTTTTTTTTTGTCTCACTTTAACGAACCTTTACTCATTTTGACTTGATTCAAAGTGGAAGTATACTCCATAAATATTTGTACCACAAAGTGACCATTCAAAATGTCAATTTTGCTGACATTTTCAGTATAGAATATAATATATAAAATATAAATGTGCAGTCTAACTATTAATTTAGATTTTTAGTTAAAATGAAAAACATCCTTTAATTTCGTAGTAGAGTTAGACCAATGCAAAAGGTAACCTGATGAAGAGGCTATATCAATGGTAATCAGTATCAACAAGCTGAACCGAAGCCTGTTGATCTCAATTTAACATCCCTTCTGGTTTCTTGCACCCCAAATCCTCCAGCAAGTGGTGAGAAGGAGACACTTGTCATAGCTGCTTAGTTTATATCCATATATGTGCTCATCACCCAGTTATCAAACCGAGTAGACCCCTCTCTCTTCCTTAGTCCAAATGAGCTTATTATTCTTGTGGGCAGTGGTTGGGATAGGTATGTTCAGAATTCTGCCTCTCTCCTCTTCCAAGAATATATCATTAATGATTTCTTCATCACATATATCCTCTTTCTTGGACTTTCATTAGAGCAGAAACCTTGGCATCTTTTAGGTGAGCTCGCATTTCAGTTTTGATGAACGGGGACTGTGCATCTGCCAACCATAGATCCGTCCAAACGTTTATTGAATCACCATCTCCGATCCTATTTTCCAGATACAATTTTCCTTTAAGGCCGCTTGAGAGTCCATGATGCTCTTTCAAACAAAAGAGGGGTTTGTACCCACTTTGACTTCCAAGAAAGACAAGTGTTTAAAGTATTTAGCTTTAAACACTTTAGTAACCCGTGAGCCCGGATGTTGAATGAATCTCTATCCTTTTCTGTAACAAAGCAAGGTACATATGATGTAAGTTAATACCAAATAATTAGTAAGTACAATAAAATCGTGTAGATAGTTTTCAAAAAAAATCGTGTAGACATCTTATGAAGAGTTATATATAATTAATACCAAATATTTTCAGGTGAGTCAAGATGGCCGAGTTGGTCTAAGGCGCCAGTTTCAGGTACTGGTCCGAAAGGGCATGGGTTCGAATCCCATTCTTGACAAGTTTTTTGTTTTGAAAACCTACATGTATGGAGTTATATTATATATATATATATCTAATACCAAATAATTGTTAAGAGAGTCAAGATGGCCGAGTTGGTCTAAGGCGCCAGTTTCAGGTACTGGTCCGAAAGGGCGTGGGTTCAAATCCCACTCTTGACATGTTTTTTATTTTACAAACCTACATGTATGAGGTATATATATATATGTACGTAATACCAAACAATTACTATGATAGTTAGGATGGCTGAGTTGGTCTAAGGGTACTTGTCCGAACAAGCATGGGGTCAAATCAAATTTTTGACAATTTTTAAAAGCCTACCTGTGTGGAATGCTTATAGACGCAAGTACAATCAAAATTGGCTTAAATAGTGTTTTTGCACAAAAACAATTGAATTAATATGCTATAGGGTTCTGAGTGTAGTGATTTTATCACGTTAAACTTTTAAATTAATTACACGTAGTCTTTCAATTTAAAAATTTAAGACTAAACATGACAAATACATTATAATCAGAAGATCTATTGATATTATATCAAAATAATTCTTCTAACCCTACTTCACTTTTGTTTATTTATAAACAAAATTATCTTTTAACCCAGCCTTACAAAGCAACATCATTCATTAAGGCACTACATTTAGCATCTCTATTCTCTAATGACATGAACATCCATAAGCAAACCAAAAGACAAGTAGAGCAACATCCGGTCTTACCAAAAAAAAAAAAAAAGACAAGTAGAGCAAAGCCATACGTGATGTCCTAGACTTTCAACTTAAAAATAAATAGAGAAAATTTCACTTTTCGTTCTTAAGTTATATGGTAATTGTAGAATTCGTCCATAAGTGTTGGTCATCGTTCACTTTTCATCCCTAAATTATCATTGATGTTGCACTTTTCGTCCCCTTAGGGACAAAATTTGCAACATTATTATAGCCTAGGGATGAAAAGGTAATAAAATGACAAAAAGTACAACGCCAATGATAGCTTAGGGACGAAAAGTGAACACGACCAACATTTAGATAAATTTTACAATTATCTTATAATTTAGGAACGGAAAGTGTACTTTTCCCTAGTAAATAAGTAGTTTTATAATACATAATTTTTAAAACTAATCATTTTCATTCGATACATACTTTCAAGATAAAAATTTTACGAGTTAATGTCAGCCGGGGCCCTCCAAATATAATAGCATCACCACGTTTAGTCTTAACATTTGAAGTTAATTACCGGTGGTCCTTCAAATTTAGGAATTTAAGGCTTTAAGCACCATGATCTTTCTGTCAATTTTAGATGTTTAGGTTATATAAATTAGGGGCAAAATCATTCTTTATGCCTTTCAACCTAAAATGGACTAAACGTGTTGGAGACTTACGATGCCACTATACTTGAAAGAACTAAACTAGCATTAACTCTTTTTTATAATATGGTATATAGTTAAGTAATTACATGCCTACTGAAACTACAAAAATTTGACAACTAAGATATATAATAATAATAATAATAATAATAATAATAATAATAATAATAATAATAATAATAATACTACTACTACTACTACTACTACTACTACTAATAATAATAATAATAATAATAATAATAATAATAATAAATGCATGGAATTTTATGCTAATCACTCAACTCAATGTAGCTTTTAAAATTATCTCCAAAGTTTTTGTGAGTTGTATAACACCTATAATATAGAAGATAATATGTCCACATTAAAATAGTTCCCTTCTAGGTAGATAAACGTTTGACAACATCGTTCTCACTCACAAAATGGTCCGTGGCATGAGAAATAAGAAAGGGATTAATTATATTGCTTGATGGTCATGAAGTTGGATTTGCACAAAGCATACGATAGCTTAAACTGGGAGTTCTTTGAGCATTGGAGCATGCTGATGGAGAATTTCTTGAGGTCTGATCTAATGAACTTTAGTGTATTATTGAGACTGCAGTTGCGGAGCCGACTGCAGGGATGCCAGAAGAGCAACGGACAAAATTGGAGGCGTTGAAACTGAAAGATCGCAAAGCAAAAAATTATCTTTTTTTTTCAGGCCATCGAACGTCCCATCTTGGAGACAATCCTTTGCAAAGATTCTTCCAAAAGTATATGGGACTCCATGCAGAAAAAGTATGAAGGTTCTACGAAAACAAAGAGGCAGCAGCTTCAAGCACTTCGTACAGAGTTCGAAACACTCCGCATGAAGTCGGGAGAGTCAGTTACAGAATATCTCTCTCATACAACCGCGATTGTCAACAAGATGAGAAATCATGGTAGCAAAATAGAGGATTATGATGTTGTTGAAAAGGTTCTTCGATCCATAACACCGAAGTTCAATTTTGTTGTGTGGCTCCTTAGATGAAGCTAACAACGTGGAAAACCTTTCCTTGGATGAATTACAGAATTCTTTAATGATTCATGAGCAGAAACTTATTCGTTAGGAAAATGAAGAACAAGCGTTGAAGATCTCAACAGAAAATCATCTATCATCGAGTGGAAATAGAGGACGAGGCAGAGGTAGAGGTAAAGGAAGAGGAGGAAGGCGAGGTACGTGGCCATAATACCTCAACAACCCATAAACTGAGAGACTTATCAAAGGTTGAGTGTTATCGTTGTCACAAATTTGGCCACTATCAATCAGATTGCTGCACCAATCTGACTAAACCAGATGAAGAAAAAGCCAACTTTGTAGAAAAAGAAGAGGAGGTATTTCTAGCCTGTCATGTGAATGAAGAAACTCAACACATGTGGTATTTAGATACCGGATGTAGCAATCACATGTGTGGGGATAAGACGATGTTTTCTCAGTTAGATGAAACTTTCCATAATATTGTGAAGTTTGGTGACAATTCCACGATATCTGTAATGGGGAAGGGAATTGTTACTCTTCAAAACAAAGGCATCACCCACATTATCTCATGTTCTTTTTGTTCCAAACTTAAAAGACTAATTTGCTTAGTGTGGGTCAACTGCTAGA